GTCTGATTATTTTTAAAGCTTAGGAAAAATCTCTTAAACCAATTATTTTTCACATGCCGCAATATTATGTAGGCCTGCAAACATAGCTTTCCTGCTACTGTTTAAACTGTGTATCACAATACCACCTTAAAAGTATTTAGAGTCCGATAGTCACAATGATAACTAAGACAAATGAAGTATTTTGTAAAATGTTGCACAATCCTGCTTTCCATCAGGTGGAAGGTTATCAAATGACAGTGCCAGACAAATCAACCAGTATCTCTACACATCTTTGTCAGCTTGACATTTTTAACTCCCTTTTACGGAATATTACAACTATTTATACACGTATATTTTTGATTTACCTCTTGGCAGTACACCTAATGATGCTCATTACATCTTTTAGTTATTCCTGTACTCGCGCACCATGAAGTTTAATAAAATAACTTGTAGTTTTTGTGAAGTAGTTGTCGAACAGTATGAATCACAGTGGATATTATAGATTGGTTTGTGTTGCGTTTTCCGGTACGGTTTTGTCCTGTTTTGTCTTTTGTGTAAAGAAGCTGTGTTGTACACTCTGCGTGTACTTGTTGTATGTATCAGCCTTTTACATTTCTTTCCCTTGTATATCTATAAAAATAATCACTTGTCATTTTACCTTACAACAATCACTGTTTGTTATTGTTCCTCATTGCAACACCTAGAATTTTGACATATGTATATTCCAAGTTTTCAGTGGTAATACAGCTAAATATTTCAATGCAATATTTTCAATTGAATGTTTTAAATTTGCTTTGCTTTGACATTGTATACATGTGTTAATGATTGATCAACATAAACTGCATCATGATATTCATATGATTTCTCAAATCCAATTCATTTTTAGAATTAGATCAGAAATATTTCTCTTCAGGTATAAAAAAATCTTTATTGATAACACAAATGTCACATTGAAGAATGAATCACTAGCAAGGAGCTGCATTACATCACATCACTTTTACACTTATGTACATTATTGCCACTTGTTAAAAAAATATCCACTTGAATGAATAAACGACTGTCATTATCTGTATGTCTCAACAGAAAAATAATAGGGAACAAAATCCCTTTACAGTGAACATCGTGACATACAGTATAACATACTTAATGTTCTAGTATTACACTTCAGTTTCATTTATTTTCACCACAGTGACATCCTCACAAAGATCTGTGACATTGGAACTACTTTCTAAAATATTGTGTAGCTTTATTTACAGTGTACACATTACACATCAACACAGAAATGCTTGTCTTCAGAGCACTACAGATGAGGATTGTATATTGAAAGCAGTACTTTTGACACGTTGAATTTTGATATCAATAGATGCAAAAACTGAGTTATTTTTATGTTTTTGTTAGTGTAAGCTGACCTAGTGCCCCTAAGGATTAAAGAAAACATGAATGAAAGTCCAGGGGACATCACAGCCTGCGGTTGGCCAGGTTTGGGTTGCTGTTGTTTTGTCCTGCAGCAGAGTGTGTGTGCTGCTCTTTCCCCTCGGCTGGGTGTGTGCACGGCGCCTGCTGGCTCTTGCTCTGCAGCCCCAGGTTTGCTGCCGTGCCGTTTGTCACTTTCTGGGAGGTGGAGCCCTTCGGTTTGGGGATTCTCGTAGGTCCTGGTCGTCGTAATGCTTCTGGAGGTATCTGTAAAAAAAAAGACATTGTAGTGGGAACACCGTACTGGAGAGAAAATGGAAAAAACAAGACGCATGCATGATTTTATCTTGCTCCACAGGCTAAATTGTTTCCAGTATCCAGTAAAGATCTGATGTAATACTGGTAAATGACCACTAGATGATATCAAATCATGTTTTCCAACTTGTACTGCATGACTTCTGCACTTTGGCTTTGAATTCTGGAAGTCAGTCCAGTTTTTGATAGTCGTCAAAATGATCTCATAGTAACTAGATTTCAAACTATGATACTAAACTTTATTGGTTTTTTTCCCCTGCTGGTTTAATTGTAAGTCCATTTTTTTTAATAATATTCCAAACCTGCTTATGGAATACATTTCAACGGAAAAAGTATCTGCCGGCATAAAAAAACAAACCAATGATATTGATGCAATCTGGAACCCATTCATTCATACATTTAATGAATAATCACCCACCACCCCTTTCTACTTCTTCAAGGTTATGCTACTATTTATATGCCCCCCCCTTCCTAGGATATATGACTATTATATTGTTACTCATTTCATTTTAATTATAATTTTGTCATTTATTACTCTCTTTTTGTCTGATCACACACGCACACACACACACACACACTGTTTTTCTTTTCTTTTTTTGTCTCCATGTATATTTTGTGATTTGTCTTGTATACTTGTAAATGCTCCTTATTGTCTTCTGTGTATATGTGACACTGTACGTGTATGCACTTGTCTTGTAACTCCTATATCGCTAAATAAAAAAAATAATAATAATAATATTCCAAACGAATAGGATACCCCTTTTGAAATTATATAATAATTACCTGGCCTGTTGTCTGTATTCTTTTCACATATAACAGTGTGAAAAATTGCCCAAAGATGAATACAGAATTAAGTAAATTGTTAGTTGTACCCCAAACATTTTTCACCATATTAACCTTGTACTGTATGAAGACTTTTTGTTAATTATTTCCACTAATCTAATACCAGATTATCCCTTTATGAATAACAGTATTAAAGAATAAGAGTTTGTTGCTTAGAAACCAGTGTTTGGCTGCAAACAAGAAGAGGAAATATCATGGGAAACATCACATTTCTCAGATTCTTAAACAACTTACTGCACCGCTTACTGTGTAATCACATTTCAATCAACTTGTTTACATGAGCAGCAGCGTGCCAGCACTCTGAGGCTGTATCACTTTGGATCAGGCCTTTTACAGTACAACCATATCCTGTTTACTGTGATAAGATGTTTCCACGAGAAAGAGTGACCTCAACAACAGCCAGAGTACACTTGTACAGTATACTACTTCTAAATGTTGCAATTTTTTTAAGGATGATGTTTTCTACCTTTTTCATATAGTTTAAATGAGCTTTTGAAATAACACATTTAGTGCTATTTTAAATAGTCCACACAGATTAAGCCACATGTGTGTGTCTCTACTCCTTTTCAAGTTAATAGTGTTTCTGCTCCAGAGACTAAATGACTCTATAGCAAACCTTGGCAGTCAATAAGTTACAATAGGGTCTTATTTGCACATAATCTATTTTCAGTCACACTGCCCCAACTTGTTTCTTCTTAGTAAGGTAATTGCATTTGGCCATTTCTGATAAGATGCCCTCACCTAAAATATCCAATTTGAATTATTATAACTGCAGCATTAAAACATCTGTATGCCTAATGCCTGTTTTAAATCAAGTGACTTTGCAACTAAGACAAACTTCAATCTGGTCTGCACTTCTGCAGCTGAGTGAAACTCTTCAGTATTTCCATGAGTTTCATCACCACTCTTTTCCCAAGCAACAGCAAACGACTCGCTTGAGAGAAGTACTTGGATTTGTTCATGTGCGGCTTGTGGGTTTGAGAATTAACAAAAACCTGCAGTGAACTATATCCTTAAATATTCATACGGGGTGTACATTTCAGTATAAGTATGGCCTACACTCCAACAAAGGTAATGGGCCAGAAAATGTGGAAGGGCTCCACGTCATGGGGGTGTTGTTGATTTAACTCGGAGAGAGGCCTTAATGTGCCGCTTTGTTCTCTCGTATATCAGCTCTGCAGCAGGAGTTCAACTAAGTACTTCCTCTGCAATACCGGCCCGGCTGTTTCCATGGCGACTAAACACGGGGTTTGTTTTGGTGCTAGTGTTGCGGTGGGAGAGAGGCTACTCTCACATCGCTACCCTCTCTCATTCACACGCACTGTGAGGCCTTTTGTTTAGCGAAAGGCCTCATACTGCTGGTTATTGTCTGTCCCCTCTTTTATTGTGCCTGTCAGTCAAGGTGAGCAAATTCCTCCACCATTATTCTCATAGTGGGCTAAAAGGAGGAAATCCGCTCTCGCCTGCAGTGTCAAACACACCTTGTCTTTACAGCGTGTAGTGTAGTAATCACACTTTAATCAAACTTTTTTAATCTGCATTATCACTGTGAGTTTAGTGTGGTTCACCGTGGGCTTTGGCTTCCGTCGTGTCACTTGGTGATCATTTTATCTGTCTGGCAGAGAAACCATTTGCATTTCTGTCCTCCTTGGCTGAACCAGACGAGTACACTCTCCAGTATTAAGTGATTATAGTGAGTCAGGGGGTGATTGAGGTCGCAGACAGTAATCCCAGCTGCTGGATGCTCGAGTCTAATGAATAGCACCTTGTTTAGCCGCTGCATCATCTCATTGTGCCCAGACTGCTCTGGATCCGGCTTCTCCAGCTGCTCTTCTCACTGAATGTAATGCTTGATTAAATCATCTTCTACTTGTCACAGTGGTTTGTTTGTTTGTGTGTGTTTGGGTTGGAGTTGTTCTGCTTCGTCTAAATAACACTTATGACTAGGTCCATACTACAAAGATACCAGCAAAGAGTGATGTTGCATCTAATTAAATGGCTCTATTTTTGGAACATGTGCGTAAGAGTTTGGGGAATGAGGATGAACCCTAGAGGTTAAGTGACATTATTTGACTTGACATCTTAGGACAGCTGTCCTCAAATATGTCTGCTGCTTCTTTGACACAGTAAACATGGCTGTGGATAATTTAGTGGCACATTTAAAGCCAGCATATTTATCAACTAGCTAGATGTTGAGCTCAATCAGATATACTAAAACATTCTGCTAGAAAGAGTGTGGCTATATACTTGCATTTATTTCTCTTTGAAATGTCATTTTCTTACATTAGCTTGGTTTTAAGACATGACACTAATGACAGCTCAAATCCTCCCACATCCTCCCCACTGTCTCCTCATCCACATCCCTCCCATTCTTGTCTTTCTGTCTCCATCCCTTCACCATTTCTTCTGACCTTCGGTGCAGATTAAAGTGAACAAATCTTATGTGGTAATGTTTCCACTGTGGGAGCATAGAAAACCACATGTACAAGAATGCATATACATGGAGGAACGTTCGTAAGTTGTACTGATGATTCATGGGAGGAAGCAAAATAAAACAGACGGTTTGGGTTTCTACCCGATGAATAGCAAGCGGAGTGAGAATTGTTGCTAAAAGACCAATGAGGTTGAACTATCAACAAATGCATTAGTATTTCGGAGTTTGGGACGTTGTATCAGGTTTTCTGAAGGGGCTTTTTGATGAAGTGTGGGGTGCAATTTCGGCTGGCAGCACTCTCAGAAAGGGGCAAACACTTGGCAGTCTTTCTTTTTTCTACCAGTAGTGAAATATTTTTATTTTAACCCTTATGTTGTGTTCGGGTCTCCCGTGACCCGTTTCAAGTTAAAATGATATAATTACTACGCTCTAGTTTTTTTATCGGAACAAGGCTTCATGATATCCTCCACAACAGCTACTGTATATAAACACTACAAAACAGATTTTGACCATTTTTGCCACGCCTGAAGGTCGCAATCAAGATTCATCTTTGACTTTAGACACCCCAGCCCCACCCCCTTCATCAACTGTAACAATCATTTTCCGCAACATGCACCTGGTCTCCCCCTCCCCCCACGAGAACTCGACCTTTCTCAAAGAATATGTACACTAACACTTGAACCTGAACACACACATGCACGTGTGCAATATGTGGTGTAATGTGTTTTGGGCCATAACAACAGGATTGTACGGTTATGAATGCATTATAAGTTAGTTATGATGTAGTTAAAACAATATTGGATGATAGTCATTTTTTGTGTGTGTTTTGGACTGAGATAAATCATGGGTCAAAATTGACCCGCGAACACCATGAACGGTAACAGCTTTTGAACACAACACAAGGGTTAAGGATTTATTTGTCATGATATGATGATTACAGATGTATACTTTTGAGAACTTTATCACCTGATTAACTTATGTTTAGTTTGTCATTTGACAGAATTTGTGTTTGTTTAAATCACTTTTAGAACACTTGACATGTGATTTTAACTGAATGGTAACCATGTTTCAGTAACCTACAATCCTAACCATGTTTCATTAATTCATGTTAATAAAGGGGCGAGAAGAGCAACTGTAATTCTACAAAATGTTGCACTTTCTATAATCACATATCAAGCAGCTTTTGGAGTTTTAAAAGTTTCAAGCAGGGTTTCCATTCTATCATTTAGGAGAACAGCGAGTTCACAACATGCTGGTTCTCATTCTCGGTCTCTTGGTTTCTGTGCCCTGAATGTAAGAAGAAACTATGACCTCAGCCTATGATCTTAACTCAAGCAAGCGAACACATGTTAGAGTCCCAGAAGGTTTTCTTGTCTTCTGGTTAGTGTGAGCACAAAGGTTTTACAGACAACTCTTCCACTTGGGTATTATTTAATTAGGTCTAACAAAGTCTGGACATTCTTTATGTTCAATTCTGAGAAAGTGAATTGAAATCTTTAGTTAACACACTGTAACATAAAAAACATTGGATTGAAATTGAAAGTGTTAAAAAGTTACTGTGCATGCGCCAAAAATCATTTCCCCAGATAATTATTTTTTATTTATTAACATTCAAAACATGCTGGATTTAGTGAGTAAATGAAATTGGCAAGCATTGATGACAAACTATAAAACATATTTTTTTTTGCACACTTTAATCCTCAGAAAACCAAACAACGTAATCATAATGCAGTATGTGTAATATGAAGTATAAAAGCTGATATGATACATCAGTGTGAATAGTCTGACTGCGTGGCAAATGTGCCACTGAGTACAATACAGTAAGTGCACATAAGTTAAAACCAGGTGTTATGTCAAATTAAATCAATATTTATAGTGCTTTCAAATGGTATTGATCTCTCATGCAGGCAAACAATTATTTCAATGTAATCACACATAACCAAGCAAACCAACCCAAAACAAAAAGAAACATTCAAACCACGGTTTAAGTTCATAAATCACAGACAGATGAAATGTCAGGGTATAGAGTTGGGGTATAAGGGTCTATGGTTGTGTTGGATCTCATGGGGAGGACTCAGTAACAAAGGATGGGATGGAGACTTTCGGGGGTTATCAGGTCACTCATAGACATTACTTACTGTAATTTGTGATGGCCTTTGGATTTGGCTGGAGGTGGGCTTAATCGTGATGCTACTTGTGATTTTGCTGGTGGCTTTGATAGTAGAATTACTGCAATTTGCAATCACCTGAGTCCTTTGCTCCTGGAGCCCAGGTGTGTTGCATGGACTCAGTGTTTGCGTTGGAGTGCTGATGCTCTGAATGAAGGGGCTCCCTAAGTGAATGTGGATTTTGTTGTCCTCCGTGGTGAAGACGCTCGGCCCAGAGCTGTTAGACCTCTGGATCTGCCAGTTGCTTTGCCTTTCTGGGGTCACGCGGAACACTGCGTGCCCTCCAACAACCTCCAGTGGCTCCGTGGAGAGGGAGCGTTCAGGGGTGCCTGTTGTGACTGACACTATCTGTATAGGTGAAATGGCTCTGTCTGGTGTCACAGAGCCACAAGAGTCTGGAGACATTGCTCTTGAGTATGCAGCCATATTGAAAGGTGATAGGGCCCTGTCTGGTGAACACAGTTCGTCAGAGATGGGGGACCCTTTAGATTTCATCAATGGGGAGATGGATTTAGCATTCGGGGATATGGAAGCATTCTGGATGATTGTAATTCTTTGTTTGGGTGGACCTCCACTTGTGGGTATGACGGCAGTGCTGGTGAACGACTGGGTGTTTTCTGTGGTCGGGCTGGTGATCTCCAGCGTAGCTGTGTTATGTCCGTGGTCAGGAGTCACTTTAATGTGCAGAGGCTGCCCAGGACTGTGGGTCAACACCACATCTCCAGGCTGAACGTGGTTGCCATTCTGCCGTGGTTGCACTTTACCATTCACCTGAAGGGAGGCGTCTTTGTTTTGAACAAACGGGACTCGAGCTCTTCTCAAGTTGTTTAGATTATTTACATTATTTAAAAGTGAGGGGCTGCATTTGGTGAGCTGAAGCTCATTGCTGTAGTTTGCGTTCTCCTCGGCTTCGCCCTCGTCGTACAGCTTCCCGTTCACCACAGCACGTTCCAGGGGGGCCATGGTCATTGTACAGTTGGGAGACATTGGGTCCTGGGGCTCTGTCTGAACCTCCTTGGTGGCAACATGAAGGTCTGAAAAGCGCCTTCCGTTCATGCCAGGGCGAAGACTTTTGCTAAAGCGTCGATATCTCTCAAGCTCTCTGTTGAGTGTCTCCATTTCTCTGGCCAGTTCTTTGTTTCTGACTTCCTGTTGGGTCAGTTTTCTTTGGAGTGTCGAGTGGTCAGTTTTCATGCGGCAAATGGAGTCCTCTGTCCCCATGTATTCATGGATCTTCTCCTTCAGAGCTGCTACTTCTCTGGTCAAATGGCTCGACTTAGCCTCCTCTTCCTTCAAGCGTTTATAAAGAACATGCTCTTGGTTGCACTCTTTCGTTTCAGCCAGCTGGTACTTTGAAAGTTCATTTCTGGATATTTCCAGTTCCTCCATTAATGTTTTACCTTTCTCTTGTTCACTGTTGAATCTTTTCTCGAGTGATTCAAACTCCTCTGTTTTCAAGAGGTCACCTTCTACCACCTTCATGTCTTTTAATTTGCGCCTGAGGCGTTCGACCTCCTGCGTCAAATCCTTTACTTTGTTCTCTTCTTGTTGGAAGCGGTTAGCAATGGGGGGTTTGGTGTTCTCCTCCTTAGCTTTGCTTCTCACGTATTCTCTTTCGATGTTCTCAAGCGATTGCAACCTTTTCTTCATCATATTGATCTTAGACTCCAAATCGTTGCTCTTCTCCTCTTCAGCACTCAACTTGGCCTTCAAGTCATCCCGTTCCTTTGTAGCGCCGCACATTTTGTCCTCAAGCTCAGCCTTTGACCTTAGGGCTTTCTTGCTCTCGTCAATTAGCTTCTCTGTGACGGAGGTCACTTTGTCCTGTTCAGCCTGAAGTTTCCCAGTGCTGTTGTGGACCTTGTTCTCCATCTGCTTGAGCTTCTCTGCCATGGCCTTCCTCTCATCCACCAGCATGACTGTCAAAGTCTTTAACTTGGTTAGATCTTCCTTCAGAGTCAGCTCCGTCTTCCCGAGTTGACTCTCAGCCTCCTCCAGTTCTTTGACCCTGACTTTCAAGACTTCCAGCTCACTGGTCAGAACCTGTGACACCGTCCTCTCTTTCTCCAGGTTACTTTTCAGAGAGTTGCATTCTTGTTTGCTCTTGCTGAATGCGTCCTCTAATTTCTCCAAGTCCATAATTCTGTGGTTCAGTTTATCGACTTCAGCCTTCAAGCTCCGGCTTTGAGTGGCCTCTTTCTCCAGCTTCTTGTTCAGGTCCCTGCAGTGGTCCTCCATTCTGATCAACTCTTCATCCTTCCCCTCCATTTCAAGCACCCTTTTACGTAACTCTTCGAGCTCAGACATGAGGCTAGAGTTTCCACACTCGCCACGGCTGATTTTGTCTCTCAGCTCCTGCAGTTCCTCCTCTGCTCTGCGCAGGGTCTTGTTGGTCTCCTCCAGCTCATCAAGCTGCCTGCTGAGAGTGGACAGCTTTTGGCGCAGCTGCCTGTTTTGTGCGTCCTCGCTGGTCAGTTTGGCACTCATGGTCTCTTGTTCCTGATGGAATCGACCGGAGTGGTCATGCAGCTCCGCCTCCAAGCGAAAGACCTTTTGCTCTTCTTCCTGCAGCCGGGCATTAGCTGAGCTCAGCTCCTCCTGGGCTTGCGAAGCAGTGACACTCAGCTCTTGGAACTTTGCTGTTTGTTGTTTCAGCTGCTCAGTCAGACGCTGTTGTTCATCAACCACCATCAACGCAAACGACTTGAGTTTGGTCAGCTCCTCCTTCAGACTTTCAACCTTTTGGTCGTTTTCCTCCTCCCTTCTTTCCTGGTAGGCCTTGTCCTGATCAATTAACAGCTTCAATCTGTAAAAAAACAAAAAAGGGAAACATGAGCAATCCAATTCCGAGCTTGTAAATTGAAATGGCATATACATTTAAAAATGGTTACTTTTCCCCCCTGCTGTTGCATACATTATTATTTGCATCCTGCTTTCAAGAATATCTTTTGATAACTTCCAGTGAATTCTGGAGCAACACATATTCAAATCATTGATAAAACTAACATGTCAGTCTTCATATGTTATATGTGAAAGGCGCTTAAGAAACTCTACACCCCAACTGTCCTTACCCATTAGGCCCACTTCTCCAAGCCCTGACACATCATAAACACTGTTATTTCCCCTGCATTTCTGCGGAGGACTAACATTTTTATGTCATGGAAAATTCAACACTTCATAAAAAGCATTACTTAAACTCTCTCAGGTCGGTAATCTGAAATACCTGTGGTTACTTTTTTCTTGTTCCCTTGTTGCCAACTAATTCTCCCATGGCTTGGAAACCGACGTTCCTGCTGTACATATTAAGCCTTGAGTTTAACAATCAGTTTCCATCCAGTTGAGGGTATAGCATAAGGCCGATTAAGTCCTCTGGGAAATAATTGGGCATGACTGGCATGCAACAAAATGTTGATGGCGAGCAGGTCTTTGCGCATGAAAGCAAGTGGTATGTAACCCTTACATCTGGAGACCAAACCAAAGGCAGAACAGTACAATAGGTGATATTTATTCAACTACTTCTCATATTTTCTCATGAGAACACAAATGATGTTAAGGTGCATTGCATGTGTGCCAGTGGATGCAGTTGCAGTTTGTGTCGGGGTCAGTACGTCTGGTACATACATCGCCCGGGCAACAGTCCCGGGGGGGGGGGGGTATGTTATGACTGCTGTGTGTGCAGCTGCCAGGCATTTCCACACAAATGGCCCCCTGGCATGGAACAATCCTTTAATTAAGGGGTTCCTCTGCTACCAACCCTTTACCCCCCTCCCTTCTTTAACCACCTACCCTCCCTGTTTTTTTCTGATACATTTAAAGGAATTCCCCCCATCTTCTAAAGGCAATTACAGTCCCAGAGTGTATACAGAAATCCCCCCACACACACACTAACGCACACTTAGGGATCACTAATTCCACATGTACACTTGGATTGTGGGCCATGATGTAAGTGAGGAAGGGTGGGTCACTTCTCAGCAGTAGAGGGTATGTCATTTCTTTCTTCAGTAGCAGCTAAAGGGGGGGGGGGGGGGGCACGTTTAACTGCATCCATCTGTTTCAATTACATTCAGACCAAACTACACCCAATAAAGTATTATAAGAATATGCATATTCATTATGAATGTGGTGTGGTTGGTTAAGGAGATGTTTGTGGCTACGTTTCCAGAAGCAAATTCATTATTATTACTTATTATGAAATATGCTGTAAACTTTATTTTAAGGGAACCTTATCCCGTTAAAACTGAAAATATGTACCATTATATTAAGAGTCTGTTGTTAACAATAATAAGTACATTAACTCGATACTCTTACTTGATACAAATGACTTATTACTTATACGCTGTGACATTATGAGGGCAGATATTGTACTGTTCATTATTCAAAAGCTTTTTGTACTACTATTTAGTTTCAGGCTATGAATACAACATGCAATAAAGTTGTTAAAGTTTACCCCATCACCAGCTACTACCTACACGTTATTACGTAGGAAAAAATAATAATGAAATAGATGTTTCATAGTGAAATGGGCCATTCTGCAATATATTTTATTTCTTTGTATTTATAGCAAATTCAGTACCTTTACTTTGACTTAAAGGCCTCATGGTTTTCATTTGATGGTCTGTGAGTATTCCAGGTGTTGAGATGATGTTCTCCCTAGCTTTGTTGACTCCAAGTTTGTCCTTGTTATTAACTTGCCTGTGTTGATAACACAGCAAGGTTACTCTCAAGGACTCTGGGTACGAGTGTTGTGCCAAGAGCCTCTACTGAAACATGCATGTGTTGAAAAATTACATATTGTTTTTCACAAAGGGTTGCGTAGAAACACTGAGTTGCTAAGCAAAGCAGGCAGACATCCCGCTTGCAAAATGTCGCCTGTATAATCACTGTTTATTCAATCTCTTATCTCAGTCCCTGCAGTTGTTCGAGTGAAGTCATCAGCCAAAATAGAAAGAACATGTACTGTGTTTCCTTGTAAGCCTTGAAACTCTGCTTTAAAACACTGACATGGATATCAATCCTTCATCCTGCTTGCAAGAACACTTTGCGCCAATAAAGGCAAATCCTTTGAGAGGAAACTACATGGCAAACACACCAGTGAAATCACTTCTAGCCCTTTATGAGACCATATTGCACTATTCCTGATGTACTCTGTGGTACAAACGGATATGTTGTGCACTTTTTTGTCATGGACACACACGTAGATGAGTGTATTTGGCCAAAAGAGCCACATCTGAGAACCTTTTCTTATTACATTTGAAAGAATTGTATATAGCAGGGGGGAAAATAGATAGTTACATTTGGTGAAAGAATATTCTGACCCTTAACTAATGCTGGAGAATATTCATTGTTGAATGAGTAGTAGCTCAACCGACCAGCGTCTGCCATCTAACATAAGTCAGTAGAAGCTAGGGCTGTGCAATTAATCGTATTTTAATCGCAATTACGATTTTGGCCTGCCACAATTACGAAAACAACATAATCGAAAAAAAACAATTATTTAGCTTTGCTAGGTTGTGACAGTGCACTGCAACATATTTGATCTAATTAATTTTGGTCTCATTTATTTGTATTTATCATATTTATATATGTTTAGTAGCTTGTGGAAGTGCGCTCCAAAATATTTGTTGATCTTGTTTATTGGTATTTATTATTTTTATATTATTTATTTAAATGTATCATTTATTTAATTTATTTTTGTATTGGTTTTTCAGTTGAATTATACGTTCAGGGTAATCAACAGTTAAAAAGATACTGTTCAAATTATGATTTGTATTTGTTTTAAAGTTCAATAAATAGATGTTTTCAAAGTCAATGTATTTAATAATCGTGATATCAATTATTGACCCAAATAATCGTGATTATGATTTTTGCCATAATCGCACAGCCCTAGTAGAAGCAGTTGCCATGTGCGTTCAGGGAACACATAAATATGACTGATCTACATAGCATTTGTCCTCGTTTCCTTTCCCAATCCGGTTTTATCTCAGTGTCGTAAAAGCACAGAGATGGCTACAGCTTGAAAGAACATTATTTTGGAGGAATACACTTTAAAGTGCTGCACATAAAGATTGTGACATAGCAGTTTCATGGCTATCAACATTACAAGTCACCTCACCACCCACTCTGAACAACCTTTGCAATACAAATCATATTCCCCTTTTAAATGCATGACATCATGGGCGTGAATGTTGTCACGGAAAAGGATTTGAGTCATTTCGTGGGTTAGCCAAATTTCCCAACTTTACGGGATTGTTTCTGGCTTTGGTGCAAATGTATTTTTGCCTGTTCTTCAAATATAAGCATAAATGGCATTCAAAAAGAAAAGGAAACATCCAGTGAGCCATCAGGGAGTCACAACTAGCCCCAGCTTCACAGAGGGCTTCCCCTCTCTTTACGTGGCTCCTGGAGCTGGAAACTGTGGCTCACCCGCTGCTTAAAGCTGTGTTTCACCTTCCATATGTCATTTCCTAACCACAAGTGATTAGGTCATGTATGTACAGAGCGATATATCCTCATGGCCACCTCCGCTTTAACATGTGGATTGTGGGTCGATTGCCTTCATGTGTGACAGAGTTTGAAAGAGGGGGGAGCGCTGATTGATGCTGTGCCTGTACTGAATGTAAAGTCCACACGGGCTAAGTGATATGCCCCAAGAGTGCAATCAACATGTGTGAAATATGTAGCTGTGATATTTATTAACTTCCTGCTAGTGATGAAATGGTTAATAGAGTGTTACCAAAGAAGACATTGGTGTTAACTTTGTGTCCTTAAAAGTTGTGTGAGTTAGATTATGCAGTGTTTTCCAAAATGCTGAAAACACATGATGGAAATCCCCCATACGGTCTTTAATACCACACACCATTATCTCCTCAAAACAGCTGTTTAATGCAGACACGTTCTTATAACGTGTCCTAATTTGACCAATCTCTGTATCAGTTAGAGTTTCATCTTGAATTTCACAGCCACATCCAAGAAATGAGTTCAGCTGACAATAAAAAGCTGTTAAAAGTACTTAAATATCACAAAATATCCCTTTGGTTCTAAAGAATAATCGGCTGTACTTACATACTATATATGAAATATAGTTGAATTAGGTTTAATCTAGTTTCTGCCATGCCGCATCTATTACACTATCCTTTTTGTTCTACTACACACATGGGACGCCACATGATCCTTACGTTTGAACTAAGTTTTCTACGATTCTGTTACCTTCAGAAATTCCAGCCATGGGCCAAAAATGTGACATGTTTAACACCACTTTCTGATATGAAAAGATGTATTACTGCCTAAATAGTTTATATCTTTCGTAAGTTTACAATGCAGCATTTTAAAAATAGCTTTCCCTTCAGATTCTGAGCAATGAATCAAAAATGTGTTTTAGCATTCATTCATCACTAAGCAAAATGGATTGTTCCTTTTTATTGTTTTACTGGATTTGAGAAGTTGAGTTCCAGATATAGTTTATATACATTTCAGCACACTTAGCAAATCAATTCAGTAAATACCATGAGGTACTTACAAAATGAATCTACTTTAGTTAGTTCTATAACACTTCTTGGTGATCCTCAAATGTTTCTGGATTAACTTTTGAATTACACAATAAAAACTTTAAAGCCGAAACAGATTCTATTAAAAACACACCATAAAACGTACAATTAAAAGTACAGAATACCAGCATGGAAGGATGCTACGTTTCAAATGTATCACTAAGCCAAAGCCAGACATGGACAACTCTTTAAAAAAAATGACAAATAAGATCTCCGTAGTAATGTTCAGCATGCCTACCTCTGCCAAAGGCTTCCCCAGGTTCACTGCCATAAGCTCATTATCTTGCCGTACAACACCCGACGCTCTACTCTTCCTCTCTGTGTGTGTCTCACTCTCTGAGTAGCTGTAATGTGGGCATTCCTGCAGGCAGACCAAACAATAAGGGATGTGCTCCCTGCCTATGGAGCATTACATCATCACCATGCCCTTATATGGAGCTTTGCATTACGGAGGCTCGCAAAAAGGGGGTGTGCTTGCTCGCATGTGTGGCTGTGTTTGAGTGCGTCTCCTAAAGTAACTGTTTGACTAAAGGATGTGTCAGTAAAGAGGGAAAGGCTTTTTTTTCTCTTGACGTATGTAATGTGTGAAATATCTGCGTGCTCTGTCACTGCTCCGGAGGCAGGGCAGGAGGTGAAGACAGACGAGGAGTTCCAGTTACACTGTTTCCTTCTGGCTCTTGTCAACATAAGTCATTTACTCAGTCAGGACAGGGGAAACAATCTCCTTGAAAAGTTATTAACAAAGCCTTGAGAGAATTTGTAATCGTGATGAAGGACAAGACAAGACTAGACATGTATCTTTTAAAAGTGAGAAGTATATCTTTTTTAGAGATATTCTGAGAATTTACAGAAGGGAATTGTTAGCAATAACATGCGTGATTTCATTTTAGTAGCATGTCAGTCTCACTAAGGAAAACAAGTTTATTAGTTTATTGTTTATTTAGATTTCCTCCCAATATGTTCCCTTACACAGGCTCTATACAATTATCTATTATTTAGAGTAAGATTTGGTGCATTTAGTCAGTAGTATTGGAGCAAGTTTACAGATCCTAATCAAGCTGCAAAGTGATAGCCATGCCTTGACAACTTCACAGATTTGTCAAGGCGTAGTATAAAAGTAGTTTAGTAACTATAGGTAAGTATCAACTTAAAGCTAATCATGTATAATTGCCCCTATTATAAGCAAGAGATTTATTGTTTTTTTATAAGGCTAAGATATTTCCTTTTTTGGCCCGATGTTAGATGAGAAGTTCAGTTAGCTTAGCATAAAAACTGGTCACAAAGGGAACCAGTTAAGATCAAATATGAGCCAGCAAGTACCTAGTGCTAATAATGACTTACAAGATAGCCGCAAAAGTGCATTTGTGCAAGTACTTGGTAACTTTCCAACACTACGAATCCACAGCCAAGGGAGACTATCTGAGGCGAGGCTGGGGTAGTCAAACACCTGTGGGTGTATAAGTGGCTCTGAGCTAATGGCTCCACAAACAAAATAATGGACTCTTCAGACAGCAGCGTAATCATATCGTAAGTTAGCACACATTGCATTTTATCAGTGGCACATTGTTCAGCTCACAATGCCTCAGTCTTAACTTCTATTATCAGATTGCTCTAACGTTACTCAAACATTTCAAATGCAATAACTTGTGACTAAATCCATCTTTTGAAAGTCTTAACACTGTGCGTCATCTTTTGTCATATGATGGGAGCAAATTGATAGCGAGGTTATTGCTTAGCTGTCAGTGTTCCTATTGTTAGGAGAAATATGTGCCCTGTTTATTCAAACAATGGGACAATCTAGTTGAAAGAGCAGCAGGAGCTCCATTTACGTATCAGTCTGTAATATTATATTGTATATTGGTTTCAGCCAGTATGTTGCAGTTCCAACTCACTCCAGCCGTGCTAGACAATAATAAGGGCAAGGCTGTTCCTGTTCCATGCCTACTAAATTAAATATCTCATGGCTTTACAATGACTGAGGTCACCGTTACTAAATGTTACAACCTATGTTTGCCAACCAATCTGAGGGACGCAGAGATTTGCTGGATTAATTGAATGCTTCACTTGGCAGGGTTTTCATGTAAGAATACAAAAAGACAGCATATACCTTTAAGTAGTCAATCAACCTACGTCATCTAACCTGGCTTCATGATTTGACTGAACGTTTGCCAACAGCTACGCAGCACAATTACAAGTCCCTGGTTGTTCTCTCTGTGCTATCATTAATTTCCAGCCTGATGTAATCAAACATCAGACGTAGAATAATGATAGGAAACGAGGCTTGTGTTTAGCTTTAAGTCCACAAGCATCTACTAACCATTGTAACCAACTTCTGGAAAACTTTTAAGTCCAGAAATGTCAAACAGAAAGCTAACATCTCTGGCCAAGAGTACTGCAAGCTAATTAGGTGTTCTCCAAATGTTGACGAATCCTCAGCGTACACACTGTGACCTAAGGTTGTTTAGTGGCAGATGGAGCACTTTCGTGAGTCGCAGCTGTAGCCAGACACGACGTGCAAATTCCTTATAAGAGGTAAACCGAAAACATGTGTCCCGGTGACTAAAAAGCTTGCAATTAATCTCAGCCTTTTCTACCAATTGTAGGAGACCATTGTTGGATGATAATGTATGAGGCTGTGTGTAAAAGTTTGGATGGCCAGCTCGTGCACACAGCGCCAATAGAATTTGTTTTTGGTGAGGGACTTGCCATGTTGCCTTTGCAAACAGTTTCGAGAATACTGCAAGTCTTAAACTTGTCATTCAATACGCTCTGGTGGGGTAGACTTTTCTTAAAGCGCCATATGTCAAATGTGTTGTTGACGGCCAAAGGCCAGGGGATCAGAGGCTGGAGGAGTACTAAAACAATGACTTGGTATCAACTCTTCCTTGCCTCTCACAAAAAACATTTCTCATGTCAGCTTGTAAGCATGACAACTCGATTGCCGAGAGAGCCATTTTCCCTGAACCATACTGAAGTCTTAAAAGTGGTATTCTAATACTCTGCAACAAGGCCTTGGGAATTGGGGAACTGTAGTGCACACTTGGTTCAAGTAGGATTGATTTCAGGCAATTTAAAACACAATATGTCAGTGTCACAGAATCCAACAACTGCTGACCTCCAGCTCCAAACTATGATTTCATGTTCTCTCCCATTTGCTTGCAACAAACTGTTTGTTCTTAGAACAAACAATTCGGTCATCCGAAATTAGATTCTATTTCTGGATGTGGACATATTCGAGTACTGTATACATGAAACATATGTTTGGGCTCAAACACAAGAGCAGGCCACACAAACATGTTTGCTGTGACAAGCTTCTGCCAAATGACAAATAGTGGGGGGGGATGATGATTTATGATGTAACCTCTACGGGATGGCTATCGCGCTGACAATACACAAAAGAATGTCGAGGTTTGGGATTGGATTTGCCTGAGCTACGTGTGCGGTTCAGCAAGGCGGTCATTAAATCACAAAGCATGGTCCTTCGGCATTTCAACATGCTGGAACTTTGAAAAGTATACAAATGACTAAGTATGAGCTCCACGGATGAATGAAAAGATGTATCTGCTCAATGAAGCAGCAAAAGGATGTGTCATTGGAGAGACTAGTCCACGAGTTCAGACCGACATAATTACTTTTCTCAAAAAACACAGCCTTAGGGCGTCTTTGTGGTCAAGTACTTCAAATCCCTAGCATATAATTGCAAAGTTTCATTTCTGAGTGGGAACCTGTGTTGCATGTCTTCCTCTCTCCAAGTTTAGTCTCTGTATCTACATTGTCACCATCCAATCAAAAAGTACCAGCAAATATTTCTCAAAGAAAAACACAGTGAGGTCCAAAGATCAACTTTAACCACAGCATTATACTTATTATACTATATTGAATAAGTGCTAGCGCAAATACTTGGTCAACGGCTGAATGTTTTTCTGACAAAAGTCAAGAGGAAGGTGGAAATTAAACCATTATGAGTTTCTTAGATCTCATAGATATATTAGTGCATTTATATTCACTTGTTCAATGCTTGTTTTTAGGTTTGTGCTAAGTGAAAAAACGATGGGCATTTGAATGATACTGAGCTCTCTGAAGTATTTTATCAAGGTAAGACATTTCAGGGGACACAACCATGACATTTTTTAAGGGGAAAGGATCTTTAAGGTTACGAGACTCAAGACATGATATGAGATATCTCTGATTTCCGTTACAGTCCCCGTCAAAAGATGACAGCTGTTCGTATGAGCAGATGTAAGTGTTGCTCCCAGATCAGACACCTGTGTGAGAGTTTGTGTGTGTGTGTGTGTGTGTGCACCGGCTGGTATCTGATATCTAGCATGAATCTGATAAACCATTAATGAGCAAACCAGATGGAAGCGAGGGATTTACTGCCTCAGTGTGTGCATGTGACACATTTCAAGATGTTTATTTGGAGCAGCAGAACCAGACAAAGTCATTTGTCATCAAGATTTTGTAACTGTGCTGGGGCCTGATTACCTGACATACACACGTGACATCACCGCCTTGTAACCAAATCCATATGGCTTCGTCCCTCTTCTCTCAGTCTGTCTCTATCTCTCACTGGAATTCTTTCACTCTTTTTATCCACCCATGACTTTGCCTCCACATTCTTCTTACTGCTTGTTTTTCTTTTGATACATTCTTTGCTCTTGTCCTTGTCCACCACCTCTGTCTGTCTCTTGTTTCTGATCTCAGCCTGCGCCTCAGCATGGGCTTCGCTGTTAAACTGGAAGTGATTTTGATTGCCAAGCTCCAACCGGCATGCGGACGTTTGCTGGCCTTTTATGGCCAAAATCTGCTTTTACGGCCATTCTGTGGCTCAAGACCTTTTGTTCATGTTGTGATCAAATGTAGCACAGTCCAAAAAGTTGTCAGCTGTTGGCTTGATTCATCTGTGTTCTCCCTCTTTGACCTGCATTCTCTTTTGTCATGTTGTTTTATGAAATGTCTCAATCTTAAACTATATTAGTCTGTGCACAAGTCGTGTGCTTAAATGCACTTTTAAATTAAAAGTTAGATGACCTTGACCTATCATCCCCTCCTTTTTCCAGTTGTAACACGGGGAGGTTTGTAGCACTAAAAGGTATGTCTACAATCCTCATAAAAACATTTGTATGTTTTACTGGGTTGTTTTTCTACTCTACTTTATTCCTTTCAAAAAGGAGCTGTGTGAAGCTACTGCGTTTAAGATATTTAACTTAACATTCAGTCTCAGAAAATAATCAAACACATTGTTTTCGGCAACAACTGTTAAAAACCATACATGTGTTATTATTTTCTGTTGAGTCTGAATGTACCTGTCTCCATAACTCACTGTCTTTGTTACATAACAAGGTTCTTTTTTTTTAAAGAATATCTC